TTGAAAAAGGATCCGCATGATTTGTAAAATCACTTTACATAAATAGGAACCCATATGAATTGCAAGGGGATGAGTTTATATGAATTTAAAAGGGATCCACATTCAAAAGTGATGCGTTTATATGAATTTAGCAGGGATCCATATTACAGGAGCCTCCGTCCCGCACCAGCTGTGGCTTGGGCCAGGGGGAACGCATCTCTACTGGCAAGCGCTATGGCTGTGGCTGACACATCGCCCACAGTGAGAAGGAGGTGGGTGACCGTGGCTTGCTGCCACCTGAAACAAAAAGGACACATGCGTCCAATCAAAACGTTGCTGCCGCAACTCGAGGGAGTGGAAACAATGCAAAAAGTGCTAGGGCCAGGAAAACGACAGGAACAAAGACGCCAGCCTCTAGCTCAAAGAGTTCTTGGAGGCTTTGTGTTGAAGGTTTTGTTCAAGGTGGAGAACTTGGGCTCACATGATCGCATCCCACGAAGGTTCCACGGGCCTGATCTGCAGTGGCATTGAATGCCGGGGTATTGGTAAGTGCATCAGCCAGCGCCTCGAGACACCGTTCTTTGAAATTGAACATTCTGACGGGCGACTGGCCTAGTCCGCGCGAAAGCACGGAACTGAACGCCATGCCACGATGCCAGGCCACGCCACGCCTGCTTGTGGACCGGACTCTCGCCCTATACGCAGGGAGTCCTGGCGGTTGCACTTGTATGTTTTCACGAAACCTCCCCCAAACCCCCACAAACCTGTTTTTCCTCAAACGAAAACCTTGTAGCGCACCATTTCCCCTAAACCCAAAAACCTACGCCCGAAACCTCAACGGAATATGACTTGCCCCAGTTCTCATTTCATCTTCCTAATTTCCCGGCCCATGTGCCTTGAAACAGACTTTACAGTACATCACGAAACTGGGCACGCCGCAAAGTCGAAGAGATGTTTTGTCTCTGCTGCCAAGTCGGCAGCATCATCGGCCAGCCTCAAAGGCAAAAGGACAGTTCTACCACTATTTCTTTCCTCGGTATCAGTTGTTGCCATGATCCTGAGGGCAGCACTTGTCACTGCAGCGCAGCCCTGGACTATCGCTACCGTGAGAGTACTAACACACATGGGCGCTCCCGAGACTCACCGACAATTGATTGCAGACCAGCTGCACTCGAGAACGCCAGCTGCCTCATGCATCATGCTCGTCCATAGTGGCGGTTGCAAGTATGCCTCATGCACTCGACACACCAATGAAGCTAGGTAAGGAAAACATGGACAGCGCTGATTCCCATGGCTGAGGATCGTGCCCCGACTGTGCGTCGAAGACGTAGCAGCTCTGCTTGGAGCTGCACCTAGTTCTAAAGCCATATTCAAAACAAAAGCAGAGCTCCAACGCAAACCCAAATTAGCAAGGTCGGCAGGAGCTGGCCATGCCTTGCGGACAGGCCGGTAGTACAATAACAACTGGCACGATTTCTGGGCGCGGTTATTCCGCAGCCTACCTGTCACGCACTTCCCTCCTATCAGCCCATTCATCTTGCTACGCGTCTGTCCTGTCTGACCTGCACTGTCCTGACACCCTCGTCACCAGATCACGAACGCGAACAAGATCATGATCAGAGAGACGATGCGCGGTCTCCTCAACGCGAGCGTGCCAACTCTGGACTAACATCTGCAGACCACTGCTTGGCTGACGTTGACGCATCAAGAAAATTCTCCGTGGCTGACTGGCCTCGTGGAAGTCCTCAGAAGCAAGTGGGCCAGCTATAGCCTCACTTACAATACGTTGCTAAGCTTTTTCGGATCAAAAACCTTTCATTTTGGGGCAAAATCTAACAACGTGTGACGACGTTTTGCCAAAAACATCTTTGATTTGGAAGAAAATCTAAGAATTTTGGGCCAAAATGTATTATGTTTGATAGTAGAAAATCCATGATTTTGGAGCACTTCCAAGAAGGTTGGACCAAAGTCTTAAGATTTTGATAAGGTTTTGGATACAAACCTTTGATTTTGAACGAAAAATCAAAAATTCTGGGCCAGAATATCAAATTTTGGATAAGATCTTGGATCAGAAATCCATGGTTTTGGAGCAACATCTCAGAATTTGGACCAAAATCCCATGTTTGAAAAAATTATATGATTCTGCCCAAATTTGCATTTTTTGACCAAAATCTCAACATTTTGATAAGATGTTGGAAAAAGTCTTTGATTCTTCATGAAAAGCTTAGACTTTAAAAAACCTAGGTTTTTGAAGAACAATCCAGGTTTTTATAGAACAAATCACGGTTGTTTTTTCTAGGCCTCGGCAAAAGCGAAATCACGTGAAGTCTTTGCACGCAAAGCGAGAGGCGCTACCTACCAACGACCTCTGTCTCGGTCAGACCAAGCTATCCTGCTGGACGACGTTTCTAGTTCTCCAGCTGCCCAACCTTCAGAGGTCGAAAAAACGAATGCCGATGGAGTAGCCTTTAGCTTTGCTTTGATGTCATGACGGTGGGCTTTGAAGGACCAGGTGCTACGCGGCACCACCGCAGATGCCAAAGCCAAGCAAGTGCGCTTGCACTGCTCCATTGGCTTCACCTCAAGCGGTTGAGATGGGGACCGAGGCGTTTTCCGAGCCCAATTGCTATACGGATTTGTTCAGTTGACTATTTGAACTCCTGGTGTTGCCTACGCTACTTGTGCTCCATATTGTTCGCTCCCATATACATATATGTACATATCTATATATATATATGTGTATAGATATACATACCTATATGTATGTCTGTATATGTATATGTGTATATGTGTGTGTGTGCGTGCTCTTTTGTTTGCCCCCAAGAGTCAGGAAGCCGAGGAGATCCCTCACCCACCAGGCCACGAAGCGAGCTCCAATGGTGACGCTGCCCCAAACCTCACATGAAGCTGGCCTTGGGGTTTAGGGGTTAGAGTTTAGGGTTTAGGGTTTAGGGTTTAGGGTTTAGGGTTTAGGGTTTAGGGTTTAGGGTTTAGGGTTTAGGGTTTAGGGTTTAGGGTTTAGGGTATCTGAAGAGATCGGATGTCAGATGTCGAGGGTGGGGGCTTGGCGTCCAGGGCATGCGAAGGTGTGAGGTTTTGGATGCTCCACCTTTTAGAGACGACTTCATTCGACCGGAAGTCACGAGCTCCTAGGCCCCTAAGCCCCTAAGCCCTAAACCACGAACCACAAACCCTAAGCCCCTAAACCCTGAACCCTAAACCCTAAACCCTAACCCTAAACCCTAAACCCTAAACCCTAAACCCTAAACCCTAAACCCTAAACCCTAAACCCCAAACCCCAAACCCCAAACCCTAAACCCTACACAGCTTGACTCAACAAGCACCCGGCGGCGCTGACAAAGGAGCCGTCCTGACATTCTTGTCGCTGCGATTTGGGAACTGGCTACTGTGGCTTCAGGATTTAGGGTTCAGAGCTTAGGGCTCAGGATTTAGGATTTTGGGTTCAGGGTTTAGGGTTTCGGGTTTAGGGTTTAGGGTTTAAGGTTTAGGGTTTGGGGTTCAGGGTGCGGGCTCGGGGTGCAAGGAAAGGGAACCTTCTGGCTTTTCTGAGGGCTTAGGGTTGAGGGTGTCTCTAAATCCTACACCCTAAGCCCTAAAAACCTCCCAAACCCTAAGCTTCAAGCCTAGAAACTAAACCCCAAACCTGCGAACCCTGACGGAGGGACCTCGAAGGTATCGTAGAGGCCATCCACCCCACGCAGGCCATCCGCCACGGCCATCACGAAGAACAGCCGGACCACCCAAAACTCGTACTCCGAGGATGGGACTCCACCCACTTTGAACATGCGATACCAGCCTCCGCACGGAATGCTCCTAGTAGAGAACTCTCAGAAACGGGGCTTCCTGTGGAAGAGAAAGCCCCCAGAAGGGACGTTAACGCCCTTCTCTGCAAGTGCCAGTGAGAATTGCAGGGGTCGGGTCCCCGAACGCGAAAAACTTGCTGCTTCGAACCTCCAAAGCCCCCTCAAAGCCTCCCACAGGTCATGGAGACACAAATCTGACCTCAGACCTAAGAAAAATGAAAAAAGGATCTTGGAGTACCTAGGGAGCCTTACAAATTTCCTAACCCTAAAACCGAAACCCTAAACCCTAAACCCTAAACCCCAAACCCTAAACCCCAAACCCTAAACCCTAAACCCTCAACCCTAAACCCTAACCAGCAAAAAGGGGTCGGAGCCTCGACCGGAGACCCACAGCCAACAGAGCAGGCTCCCCATGTGGATAACATAGGTGGCCAGGCACACGTTGATGTAGAGATGCTGCCAGCCGGACATTCTCTTAACCCAAAACCCGAAGCCCTAAACCCTAAACCCTAAACCCTAAACCCTAACTAAACCGTTTTCATAAACCCTGCAAAACCCTCAACCCAGCAACGGCTGGAGCCCGGTGGCTGCAAGGCACTGGAAAGCTGCAGAGAAGGGCTCTGAACTCAGGCTTCCTTGTCCAGCACCCTGTTTTTAGGGTTTAGGGTTTGGGGTTAGGGTTTAGGGTTTAGGGCTTAGGGTTTAGGGTTTAGGGTTTAGGGTTTAGGGTTTAGGGTTTAGGGTTTAGGGTTTAGGGTTTAGGGTTTAGGGTTTAGGTTAGGGTTTAGGGTTTAGGGTTTAGGGTTTAGGGTTTAGGGTTTAGGGTTTAGGGTTTAGGGTTTAGGGTTTAGGGTTTAGGGGGGGGGGGGGAGGGCGTCGTGTCTGTGCATAGTTTGGGGTTTGTGTTTGGGTTTGGGGTAACCCTAACCTAAAAACCTAAACCCTAAAGCTAGCAAATGTTCGGAGTGCTGAGAGGTTGCCACGGCCAGCAGACTTTCGGGTTTACTGTCAGACCCTATAGGGTTGGGGCTGGTTTAGGGTTTTGGGCTTAGGGTTTAGGGTTTCGGGTTTAGGGATTAGGGTTTAGGGTTTGGTTGAGGGTTCCTAAACACCCGGGAGCCCTGAACCCCACAACCCAAAGCCCTCAACACCCTCCTAACTCCCTCTCAAGAGTGCCTGAACCCTATACCCCCCCGAACCCGAAACCCCCTAAAGCCTAAACTCGAGGAAATTCCTGTGAATTTCCTGAAGAATCTCCATCTACATCCTTGGGCAAGCTTACCCTAAACCCTAAACCCTAAACCCCAAACCCTAAACCCTTAACCCTTAAACCCTAAACCCTAAACCCTAAACCGAAACCCTAAACCCTTAACCCTAAACCCTAAACCCTAAACCCTAAACCCTAAACCCTAAACCCCAAACCCTAAACCCTAAACCCTAAACCCTAAACCGACTTCTGCGGCTTCTTTTTGCATGTGGCTGCCCGGTCGCCGACTCTGGGCTGACAAACCGAAAGCCGACGCTCTGTTCGAGACAGGTTTAGGGTTTAGGGTTAGGGTTTAGGGTTTAGGGTTTAGGGTTTAGGGTTTAGGGTTTAGGGTTTGGGGTTTGGGGTTTCGGGTTTTAGGGGGTTAGGGTTAGGGTTTTTAGGGTTTTTTAGGGTTTAGGGTTTAGGTTTTAGGGTTTTAGGGGTTTAGGGTTTAGGTTTAGGTTTAGGGTTAGGTAGGTTAGGGTTTAGGGTTTAGGGTTTAGGGTTTAGGGTTTAGGGTTTAGGGTTTGGGGTTTGGGGTTTAGGGTTTAGGGTTTAGGGTTTAGGGTTTAGGGTTTAGGGTTTAGGGTTTAGGGTTTAGGGTTTAGGGTTCAGGCTTGCCAAGCCTTGCCAAAGCTCCCGGGACACACTTACACATAATTCCATCCGTAGAAACTCACTTCACCTCACTTGAATTCTTTGCAGGGCAGACTTGACCGTACCCCCATGAAAGCCGGGTGAGTCCGGCCTCTCGCGGCTTGTGAGGATTCATATACATAGCATGGTCCCACGGGAGGCAGGTGCCATCATCGGTCGCCTTCCTTGTGGCGCTTGAAGTCTTCAAGAAGACTCAATCACCTCAAGAGGTACTGGAAACACCGGCGAACCTCCATGCCAAGAAGCGGAAAAGTATCCAAGACGCCCTGTCTCAAACAGAGACGGCATCTCTTCATCCGGGGCATGCATGCCTGCATGCTCAGAGGGCTGTAGCATTTTTTGCCCCCGGAAGTGGTAGGGTCCCCACAGCGGGGATCGATTCGGGAAGATCTTTCCCCTCATCGAAAAGTGCAAAGCCCGCTGGACACTTGGCAAGTTGCACTCTGCTTCGGAATGATGCGGATTGCGGGCGCAGACCTAGAATGGGTCCGGCAACACTTCGAGCTTCTCGTGCTCGATGACTCTATGAACTAGCCGAGCAGCAGGCAACGGTCACTTCTTGGGGATGCGCCAGTCCGGCCCATAGAAGTACAGCAACAGTTCTTCTGGTTGGGCGACACATGAGACAGTGATGTTCAGGCGGGTCGGGCAGCGACGCAGGGGGAGAATGATGGAAGTGGAGATGTTGAACCAGCGCTGTTTTCGCTTCCGCTTGGACTTCGGGCAGGCGTAGCAGCCTTGTAGCGCGAGGCTGGTCGCAGCACTCTTCACGCGGCTGGGATTGGAGCGGTCCATCAAGAAGACATCCGCGTAGAGTCCTGTCTGCTTGTCGATCAAGCGAAGGGCAATGGCCTCGTCTCGTAAATGACCTTCGTTTTGGTGGTTGCCCCAGATCTGCAGGGCGAAGCGCTCTGGCGCGGAAGGAAGGATCCTGGTCTGCTGAAGAAGATGCAGCTGGTCCTTGAAAATCGCCACATCCACATCGGTGTCATGTTGGATAATGTCATGCTCACGCTCAACTCCAAGCGCCGTGCCGGCAAAAACGAAGTATTCAACGTTCAAGGCGGTGAAAAGTAAATCAACCTCCCTGAGAAGGTCAATGAGCGAGTTCCGTTGGGTACGCAAATCAGGCGCGATCCACCGACTGGGAGCATAGTTCACGTCCACGTGGCTCAACCTCTGATTCAGGTAACATAATGAGACAAGGAGAAGGCCCAGGCTCAGTGACAATAGAAGAGCTGCGGATTTCGGGAGCCTTGGGCATCTATGACCACCCTTGCCATGGGCAGGGAAGGCCCAACATCGCAGGCGCTTGGCTTGATGTCTTGCTTTGGCCACCATCACCCCCATGAAATGAGTGAAACAAAAGTATCGCGCAGCCCACCCTGAGCACATCTGCTCCCATTTCAGCGTCTTTGCCCTGTGGTTCATCGACGCGAGCACCGCAAACGCTAAGTCTTTCATAGCATCAGTGTTGTGGATTGTGAGAGGTGCTATGACAAAAGGGCGTGACAGAAAGAGACCTAGCATGGAGGACATTATGATAGAAGCCAGTGATGCTGGTGCCCTGAACTTCGCTAGGTTTGGGGTTTAGGATGTCAGGTTTGGGTTTAGGGTTTAGGGGTAAGGTTTTAGGGTTTTAAGGGCCAAGACTGTCCATCAAAGTGCTGTGAAAAAGATCCAGCATCTGCGTACTTGAGAAACATACAAGATGCGCCGGCAGCAACCTGCCTGAGTCCCAAATACCCGAAGCCCTGAACCTCCTAAACCCCCTAAACTCAAAAACCCAAAAAAAAGCCTAAACCCCCTGGAGCCCCTAAACACCCTAAAACCCAAAACCCAAAAAACCCAAAATGTTTACCCCCTAAACCCCCAAAACAACTTGTCTCAGTCCCTGGCCATTCTTGTTCTTCCCGTCGATGGCCGCCCTTCGGGGCAGCAGCATCTTCACCTCCATCGTATGAAGGGCTTAGGCTTTAGAGTTTAGGGTTTAGGGTTTAGGGTTTAGGGTTTCGGGTTTAGGGTTTAGGGTTTGGGGTTTAGGGTTTAGGGTTTAGGGTGCTTAAGGGAGGGGGGTTCAAGGGGAGTAGGTGCCTAAGGAACCTTAGAGAAGCTTAGGGAGCCTTAGGAGTAGTGGGAAGTGTTAGGGAACCTTGGGTTACATACCCTTGGACCCCCCTCCCTTCAGAGATCTGTAAATGAGCTGGAGTACCGGGCCCCTGCACTCCAGAATCTGGAGTCTGTAATCTGGAGTCTGAGATCCCGGTACTCCAGATTCACTCTGGAAATCTGGTGAACTGCATGAATTCTGTTAGGTATATGAATCATAATAGTTTTGATTTTTGAACTATACTCATCGCATGAACGATACTTCATCATAATTGTACAAGTTGTATAGCTAGATTAGATTCACATTTGTACTAAGGATATTGAATACAACAAACAAAACTCACTCTAAACGTTGAAGTATTGTTATTTTGTTAGTTCCGCGCATTATAGTGCCTTCAATGCATGTTATATTCATGATTTTAGATGTAGTAGCTATATAAAGAATACTTCACGAAATTTGAATCATAGGATGTTAGACCTAAAGGGTCCATCAAACAGTCGTCCTCGTGCCACACAGCAAAAAGATCGCCGCCTAAACCCTAAACCCTAAGCCCTAAACCCTAAACGCTAAACCATAAACCCTAAACCCTAAACACAGTTCCAGAGACTGCCCCAGACCACGGTGAGAATCTGGTGCTCCCCTCCATCAGGACATACGTAGATGTGAGCTTCGCCTTGAGCTCTGGGGGGCCCAAAACCCTAAACCCTAAACCCTAAACCCTAAACCCTAAACCCTAAACCCTAAACCCTAAACCTAAACCCTAAACCCTAAACCCTAAACACAGTTCGGAAACCACATTGAAACATGTTAAACACTGTTCGTTTGAAGTGGCCTTAATGACACAGCCCTTTACAACAGAGTAGAGTTTCCACTGTACTTGCCGAGGAAAAGCAGATATTCAGATAAAGAAAAAGCTAGAAAAAACCAGAGGTGTGGAGTATGGGGGGGGTGACCGGATTTTAAAAAAGTAACCTCAAGCCCCAAGCTTGTTAAAGCTTGAACCCTGAAGCCTTTAAAGCCCTAATTCACTGCAAAACCTCTCACAAGCCCGAAATCCTAAACACTGCAGTTTTCAGAAACCTTCAGCCGCCACAGCCGTTGGGAGTCCGAGCCCTCCCCCGCCGGCCTCAAATCTAAACCCTAAACCCTCAACCCTCAACCCTAAACCCCTCAACCCGAAACCCTAAACCCCTCAACCCTAAACCCTAAACCGAAGCACCCCCCCGGCCCCCCTCGCGCCATCTCATTGAAGCCGCCCTTGGCGGCATAGTGGAGGGGCGTGTTGCCCATCTTATCCGGCACCTTCTCTCTTTCTGGCCGCGAAAAATAGGGTTTGTGGTTTCAGGGTTTAGGGTTCAGGGTTTCGGGTTTAGGCTTTAGGGTTTAGGGTTTAGGGTTTAGGTTTTAGGGCTTAGGGTTCAGGGGTTTAGGGCTTAAAGGGGTTCCGAGTCTGGGCTTTAAGGGGCCTACCCAGTAGGGTTTAGGGTTTGGGTTGAGTGGCTTGGGGGGAGGGGGCGGGCCATCAGGGTTCACGCCGCGCCCACGAAAAACTTGTACGTAAGAACCAAAGCCGCTGCGCAAACCTTCTAATCAACTCCTCGGGCCTGGGAACCACAAGCCAAAACCCTACGGCGCCAAAGCGCTCAACACGGCGCGCACGACCTCCCAAAAAAACAGAGGCCGGGCCTAGACCCTCCGCCCACACCAGGCAGCAGCCCTAAACCCTGAACCCCGAACCCTAAACCCTCAACCCTAAAACCCTAAAACCCTAACACCCTAACACCCTAAAACCCTAAAACCCTAAAACCCTAAAACCCTAAAACCCTAAAACCCTAAAACCCTAAAACCCTAAAACCCTAAAACCCTAAAACCCTAAGGCAGCAGCTAGGGCAACCCGCCTGCTCCGGATTTCTGTCCAAGATGACGGCGCCGATTTTGTTCTGCAGCCAAGAGGTTTCGGACATTAACGCTTGGGCTGTTGTACTGTTTTGGAGCCTTAGTCATTAGAACAGAGTTCTGGGGATTCTTATAGTAGACTTATTAAGGGACCATAAAGGAATATTACTAGTAATTATTCCGGCCCCTACAATATAGGGGGTTTGATGGCTTTGAATTCAGGATTTGTAGGGTTCAGGTCTTCAATGAAAAGCCCACCGGCCTCCGGCAACGCACATGGAGCTAACCCCAAAACCCAAAACCCTAAACCCCAAACCCTAAACCCCCAAAAACCTGACTTGAAACCAGTCTTGCTTCCCGCGAAGGCGGCAGCCCTGAAGACCCTCCGTGAACCCTAACGAATTCTAACTGTACTTATACCTGTACTGATAATCATATTGGGGCACTTAAGGCTTATAAGTGGGTTAGAAGTACAATTATCACTGGCTAATAAGTACCATGAACCTCCAAGTCAACCCCAGCACACTGAAAGCCGGACAAGCTCACGCACAGCGGAGCAACTCAGGCCCCTGCGTTTCCAAGCCTGCGTGCAGGCGGAGAATGCTTGGAGGCTCATGGATAGCTTTGTTCAGGGCTTAGGGTTATCGATAATAGTTTGCCTATAACCCTAAGTCCGTGCGCAGCTGGTGCTGCCACTTTGGCTTTGGAGAGTTTCTGGCCCTGTTCAGGGTTTGGATTTAGGGTTGGGCTTTGGGTTTCGGAGGGTTTTGGGTCAAAGTCTTTGACGGAAACCTAAACACCGAACACTCCTCAGCCCTGCAGCACACAGAAGCCTGGAAAACGCAACTCACAGAAAGCAAGGCTCTCAAAATCACAAGCATCTGCTTGCAGATGGTCCACCACGGCTTCTTTCTTAGGGCTTCTGGAGTCTTAAAGCCCCAACAGCAAGGTTTTAAGCACACATGAAATCTCTCCTATCGTCCTCACAACAGTGGCCTGCACGGGAGAAGCGTCCCAACCCTCAACCCCTCAACCCCTCAACCCCTCAACCCCCCCAACGCTCATCTTCCCACGCCTCGCAGCGAAATGCGCCGGCGTTAGGCCAAAGGTGTCATCTTTGGCCTCGATGTTGACCTGGAGCTCCAGGGTCAGGGTTTAGGGTTTAGGGTTTAGGGTTTAGGGTTTTGGGTTTTGGGTTTGGGGTTTAGGGTTTAGGGTTTAGGGTTTAGGGTTTAGGGTTTAGGGTTTAGGGTAGGGGCGGCGTTTTAAGGTCGAGGGTTTGGAGATTCGAGTGCAGGGCGCATGAGGGTGAGGACTGTGTCGAGCAGTTGCAGCGCCTCTGAATAGGCGACCCCGCCGACCCTAAACCCTACTGCTGCCTGCCAATTCTACTCTTCTCTTATGATCTACTACTCCTGTGATTTTTCTATTCTCCTATAATCTTTTCAATTCTCCTAGAACCTTAGTGTTTTCAATTCTCCTATAACCTTAGTATATCACTAGATGAAGCCCTACACGAAAAACCCAAGAAACCTTGAGCCCTGAAGCCTAAGCTGTGGCCCAGGAAGACTCCGAAGCCCAGCTCCCAGCCCCCAATGGAGGCTTTAGGGTTTAGGGTTTAGGGTTTAGGGTTTAGGGTTTAGGGTTTAGGGCTTAGGGGTTAGGGTCTGGGGGCGTAGGGGCGGGGGGAGGGGGGAGGGGGGGGGGGGTTATCTTTTGTTTTCAAGCGTTTAGGGTTTGGTTTAGGGTTTCGGGCTAGGGTTTAGGGCTTCGGAAAGCTTGGGGTCTTAAAACTCTTGAAGCCTTTAAAGCCCTTCCAGCCCTTGAAGCCCTTAACACCCTCACAGCGCTGAAGGCCCTGAACACCCCAGAAACCGAACCCTAAACCCTAAGCCCTAAACCCTAAACCCTCAGCCCCGAACCCTAAACCCTAAACCCCAACCCCTTTAAACCCCTAACCCTGAACCCCCAACCCCAAATACCCTTAGGGTGCCAGCCTTGGGCTTGCTCAGGAGCTGCCGGACAAGCGCCTCGTCAGGCCTCTGGCAGTGTAGGGTTTAGGGTTTGGTTTAGGGTTTGGGGTTTGGGGTTTGGGGTTTAGGGTTTTAGGGTTTGGGGTTTAGGGCTTAGGGTTTAGGGTTTAGGGTTTAGGGTTTACGGTTTACGGTTTAGGGTTTAGGGGTTTAGGGTTTGCAGGCCGGTATATAACCCTTGAAGCCCTAAACCCTGAAAACCCTCTGGAACACCCCGCAGAAGCCGAGAGGGGCACTCATCCGCCGACATGCACTCCACAAGCGCATGCTCCTTTCGCAAGAGGGGGTTTAGGGTTTAGGGCCTTGGGTTTTGGGTTTAGGGTCAGGGTTTGGGGTCAGGGTTTAGGGTTTTAGGGTTTAGGGCTCAGGGTTTAGGATTTAGGGTTTTAGGGTTTAGGGTTTAAGGAGGGGGAGGGGTGGTCTTGGGGCCCTTTAGGACGTGTGGGTCTTAGGGTTTTAAGGCTCAAGGGTCTTAGAGTGGGTCTCAGAGGGGGCTTCGGGTGTAACAGGGCCTGTGGACCTTCATGGAACCCACATTTTGAAACGTAAGGGGGTTTAGGGTTTAGGGTTTGGGGTTTAGGGTTTAGGGGTTTGGGGTTTGGGGCTTAGGGTTTAGGGTTTAGGGTTTAGGTTTAGGGTTTAGGAGGGTTAAAAGCCCCAAAGAAACATTCGGACCCCTGCATGATGGCCTCGAAATCTCAGTACCACTGACACACATCCGGACCACTGCCAGTCCCAAACGTACCGGTTCTTCGTAGGGACATTTGGGTTCATGGGGTTTGGGGTTTGGGGCTTGGGGTCCAGGGTTTAGGGTGTGGAGAGGCTTTCCTCTTTCGATATATAGCGGTGCGTGATCAAAGGAAGCTAGAACAAGCATGGGTACAAGGCGCCACTCGCAGATCCTAGTAGCCCTGAACCCTGAGCACCAAACCTTGAACCCTACTGAGAGGTGCATGGATAGTCCGAAAAGAGCTAGACATGTCATGAGCAAGGCGATACCCTAAACCCTAAACCCTGAACCCTAAACCCTAAACCCTAATGCCTATAAACCCTATACCCTAAACCCTAAACCCTAAACCCTAAACCTGCAAGCAAACCCGAGCCGAGCCCGGCGCGTTGTTGGCACTCCAGAGGTAGTCCGCGTGCCCACGCACGGCCAAGGCCCTAGGAGAGGTTCAGGCTGTTTACAACCGGGTTTGGGGTTTAGAGTTTAGAGTTTAGGGTTTAGGGAAAGTTTAGGGTTTAGGGTTTAGGGTTTAGGGTTTATGGTTTATGGTTTAGGGTTTAGGGTTTAGGGCTTCGGGTTTCCTAACCCCAATTATAGCTGTACCGATAAGCGCCCTAAGTCAGACTTGCAAGTGGGGTTATAAGTACCCATGAGCCTCCAAGTACGGCTCTACTAGTTTAGGGCTGAAGTTTTGGGAATGAGACTCTAAATCCTGAAGGCTATGGGCTTGGGGCCGAGGAACCACGAACCCGAAAAGGTTTAGGGTTTAGAGTTTAGGGTTCAGGGTTTAGGGTTTAGATGATTTAGGTTTTAGGGTTTAGGGTTTAGCGTTTAGGGTTTAGCGTTTAGGTTTAGGGTTTAGGGTTTAGGTGCTTAGACCCCCCTGAACCCCGAAACGCAAGAAGCTCTGGGCTTGCAGTTTAAGGGTTTAGGAGCTCCTAAACCCTAAACCCTAAACCCTAAACCCAAAAGGCTTTGGGTGTACGATGAGGCAGGTTTCGGAACCCTGCTACAAACCCCTGGCCTCCAACCGGAAGGGGCTTGGGTTCACAGTTTAAACGGGGGGTTTGGGTTTGCAGCTGTTGAGGGCTTAGGAACCCCTAAACCCCAAACCCCAAACCCTAAACCCTAAACCCTCAACCCAAGAGCTTTGGGTGTATGGCTTCAGGGGCTGCAGGTGTAGGTACACCACTCCGATCCCATTACAGGACCTTGGAGAGTCAAGTGCAGTTTAGGGCTTTGGATTTACGGTTTGGGGTTTGGGGTTTAGGGTTGTACCCATGTTAGGTCTTGAAGGGCATGGGGCTATCTCCTTGCCTTAAGCTTCAAACGCCAATCACTGAGACGGCGCCGGGCTTGGGAGTCTGAATGTTCCCTAAGGGGCCCCATGAAACAACCGCCCGGGAAAGCGATGGCTGAGCACACTCGTCCCTCAAGTCCTAGACGAAACTCGAAAGAAACCAAATAGAAGAACTTTAAACCACCCATGGTGACACATAGCGACGAGTAACTGGTCGACCCTAAACCCAAACGTGCCACACCCCTCGCGAGAATCAGGTGCCCCAGCTCATCCCAGAAGGTCGTCTTCCTCTCCTGCGTTTCAACGCACCCAAAACCCGCACAAACCCTGGGGACCCCAACACCGTAGCCCTAAGCTCTAAGCTCTGCTAAACCCTAACCCTTAAACCTTAAACCCTAAAACTCTAAGCCCTTGCCAAATAAGGCTTGGGGCTTGGGTGTGTAAGTTAGGAATCTGGGGCTCTGGGATTAGAGATTACTGCCTTAGATTTGCACGGCATAGCGATAAGAAGGGGTTGTAAGTATGGAAACTAAAGTTATGTTGATACTTAAAATCCTGCTTGCTAACTATCCATGAGCCTCCAAGTAACCTCGACAATACTAAGGGACCGCATAAACATGGACCCCATCACAACGGGAACAACTTACAAAAAGAAGCCCCAATAATAACGCATTTATACTTGGTATATAGTTGCAATGATATCATAAGCGGCCGAGTCCAATATCATACTCTGTATATATATATATATATATATATACATACATACATGTACATATACATATATACAATGACGTAGTAGTAAAGTAGTAGCAATACGAACAAGCAGCCCAGCAGCCCAAGGAGTGCCCAAATTAATACCAAGCTTTGACCCGTAAAGCCCAAGGTCTAAAGGGCTTCCAGGGCTCAAAGAAGAAAGGCCCCCCCCCCCACCAGGGTGTAGGGTTCAGGGTTGAGGGTTGAGGGTTGAGGGGTTTAGGGCCCCACCCCCCGGGTGAAGGCCCCCAAATGATCGAGCCAGATTGCCGGTCCTCCACCTTCTCCTGATGGCAGGTTGCGGATGTTGATTGTGCGTCTTTCGGTTCAGGGTAGTTGGTTTTTGTAGAAGCTGTAGGGCGTTCGGAAGAACGGTAGACCCTAGACTCCTTCTCTTTGAAGCTTAAGGGCTGAGGGCTGAGGGTTTAGGGTTGAGGGTTGAGGGTTTAGGGTTTAGGGTTTAGGGTTTAGGGTTTACGGTTTAGGGCCCAGCGAGGCCAGGGCGTCCCCTTTGTAAAAGGTTTTGGACTGAAGGCGGCTGGGCTCCATGATGCCAAGACTCAAGAACCCTAAGAACCTTAAACCCTAAGAAGCACAAGCCTGTGGGTTTGGGGTTTGGGGTTTGGGGTTTAGGGTTTAGGGTGTATGGGTTCCCCTACTACCCCCCCTCTACATCACCCTCGCTAGCTTCCCCCCTTAAATAACCTGAATCAGGCTTCATATTTCCCGAAATAACCTCAGTTATGAGGGGAACCTAGGGGTGGGTAGTATAGAGGGGGTAGTAGGGGAACCCATGATAAACCCAACGAAGCCTGAGAACCCCAAAAGCCTCCAGGAACCCGAAGCACCCCAAAGCCCGAACGAGTCGACCCTGAGAGTGCCAAGAACCCGAAGACCCTGAGTACCGTGAGAGGCCCAGGCCTTAAGAATGAAGCCCTAAGCGAAATACTAAACTGACATATGGGGGGGTTTCCGACATGAGGGGTATAAACCTTTTTGGGATCTTTTTTCTAAGGGGGTCCTATTATTTGGGGAACAATATTAGGGTTCCCCTACATTCGTAAACCCCCATACAACTTCACATGTTCAGGGCTAGGGGTTGTGGAGGCGGCCCAGGAATCCACGCCAGCGCAGTAAGCATCGTGCGCGCGACTGCTGCTTCTGCTTGATGTTTAAGTTGCACTAATCCGCAAAGACCTCGTCCGCAATTCTGGAAGCCGACTTGGATCCTGAACAAACCTGAACTTGAATCCCTAGCTCCAGATCATCAAAAGGTTGCACCGTCATCCCACTTACTGACCAGACCCGCAAGCCTTCTACTTGTCACCCCAAACTGCTATCCTCTGGTGTGCCATATTTCTGCAAGGCTACGCTACGGTCTCGCGGAGGGGCCGGGGGGTTCTAAATTGCATCAAACAGCTGGGAACAGGATCCTGCTGCTGCTGCTACTACGTGTGAGCAGCCAGGGGCTGGTGCCCGGGACATGTCTGAATTAGGCCAGAGCCCCAACCTTGCCGAAACTGGGTGGGGCAATTAACTATGCAGGGGAAGTGAAACCTGGTTTTCAGGAAGACATGAGGGCCATCTCAAGCATGTGAAGAATCCACAGCTTTATCTTCCTTACCCGCGATGCTAGAATCAGCTGGCCCTGCCTCTAGAGGCTGGCAAGCAGGCTCGACGTAGTCGGGCAGACAAAGGACACAAGCGATCTGAATGATCGAGCATCCCGCCAACATGAAAAACAGGGCGCCATGCCCGTGCCAGCCCCAAGTTCGCAGTGTCCACGCGAAAACTGAAGAAGACGCCGCTGGTCCAATGGCTTTCCCAACTGTCTCAGAAGTCACTGCAAGACCAGTTGCCATGAAATGATGTTCCGGACACGCATTGTTGGTGAAAGCAACGTTCAGCACATTGTTGCCAATCAGGGCAGATGCCCAGACGAGGTGCAACACGTTGGCTGCTGGAATGTGTGGAGAGAAAGGCAAGAAGCAAGCCGTGGCTGCTGCAACGACACTTACCACAATGCTGTAGCAGCGACTTCCAAACTGCTTCGAGCACCATGGCAGGACCCAGGTGAAGTAGATGATGTACCAAACAGCCGATCTGCAGAGAAAAGAGCCGACTGACTTTTCAGTCATTCCATGGCCACCCAGTTCAGTGTCGGAGATTAGCCACAACGGCACAGCATCAAACATGGCATACGTGGCGCACCCTGAGACAAAGCGCATGAAGAAGATCAGCGGCAAAGGCTTCTGGAAAATTGACGAGCGGGGCTTCGGAAGCGAGGGAAGTGGGGGATCCCATCGAGGTTCTGCCTGCGTTGCCTTGACCGTACGCTCCTCTTGCGCGAAGGTCTTGCGGACCGCAAGCAAGAGGACGGAGGCAAGAATACTCAAACCACATCCAATCAGGCTTGGCAGTAGTGCTGGAAATTCTTCGAAGGCGCCATAAGTCCAGCCTCCTACGAGTGGACCTATCAACTGCATGCTGCCGTCGGCTGCATAGATCAGTCCTAGAACTTCTGTTTGGCGTTCGCGTCCAGCCGCAGCAATCGCACAAGGACCTATCAAAACCTGCCAGCCGTTCAGAAGCCCAAAGAAAATGAAGCGAACGCTCATCGCTGCAATGAGGTTCGTGCAGAAACCGAAGAGAATGCCGCCCACCAGCATGGAGACCAAAGTAATGACAAGCACAACCTTGATGCCATAGCGGCCCGCGACAAAGCCCCAGACCGGAGACGTAAAGATGCGGCCGAAGACGTTGGAGGATTGCAACCAGCCTGCCACGAAGCCCGCCTGGTTCTTGTCCGGAGCCCATCCGAGGTCCACACTGAGAATGCCCGCAAAGCTGAAGATGTTGCTGAGCGTGTAGAAGTACGCAGCTTCCAGCACGCACAAGAAGGCAAGGTGGAGAAACGGCAGGCGCTCCTTCGTAGAGCTGGGCTGCATCTGCTTACTGCACCTCAGCCTCATCCTCGGGCTGAGTATGCACGGAGGCCCCCGTTTTTGAGCCAAATGCTCCTTTCCGGTCTGAGAATGAGGGGATGAGGGGGGCCGGGTTTAGGGCTTTCCTTCTCGCACCTTCCGCATCGACAATCTCACCCCTGACACTTCGTGAACATCATTGCTAACTTGACGGAAGGATTTCGGCACCCATGCACGCATCTGGAAGTTAGTAAAGGTCGACTCTTGGCTTCCCATCCCTCCCAATCGCTCAAGACTGAAACAAACAGAGCCTGTCTTGCGCCAGTCTGCACAGCCATGTGTTCTAATGCAACGGGCTTTCACATAAACCGCTCCCAGCGACACGCATCTCAAGAATGCAACAACACCAGCAAGCATTGCCGAAGAAGGCAAGGAAGATGCTGGGGGGTGCAGCGGGGGTGGGCCATGATATCTCCCAAACGCTGAGCCCTCAAACCCTAAACCCTCAAACCTTGAACCTTCCCTCAAACCCTAAATCCTGAGTCCTACACAACCCCTAAACTCCTAAACCCTCAACTCTCCTCTTCATCCTCCTTCAGGCGTGGGTAGCCCTTGTGGGCGCACCAGTTCGCGAGGACCTTGGAATGAGCAGCGGAGCACTACTTGGAGGTTCATGGGTACTTATAACCCCAATGATAAGTCGACTTATAAACTTGGAGGACTTGGGGGACTTAGGGGGCTTGTAAGTACCGTTATACTTGGGGTGATAATTCCGCCTCCAAGTAGTGGGACTCCGGGGGACCTGAGGGTTTAGGATTTTTGGGGGTTTAGTTAGGGTTTTAGGGTTGAGGGTGTTCAGGGTTGAGGGTTGTGATGCCGGACGCCTGACATGGATTCAGGACTACAAGGGGCTGGTGTCGCATAACTGGCAAGTGCTGGGAATTCAGGGGAGGCATCTTGCGCACGAGAGGCTCACGATGCACTTTGGGGGGGCAACCTCCGGCCCGAAGACCACAGGCTGGAGGCCAAGGTCTCGGTTTCCCCTGGTTCTTATGTTTGTAGGGAATGAGGGAAGTAGGGCCCTATATATGTACTTATATATATATATATACCCCTTAATTAGGGGATGATATAGGGGACCCCCCATTCCCTCATTCTCTACTAGGAACCAGCCAGTTGTTGCCGGGGCGGCGCCAAACACTTGCTGTCTGGTGGCCATCTCGGAATTTTTGCGAGGCTCAAGTTTTCCATGTCCGACATGCTGAGGCCCCTTTGGCCCTAAACCCGAAACCCTAAACCCTAAACCCTAAACCCTAAAGGAAATCAACCAAAATCCAATACCCAAACTCCCGGCAGCCCGGAGACGCCCTACATGAACCGGGAACCCTGCTAAGCCCGAAGCCCTCCCAAACACCTGCAGCTCCCAAAGCTCCCCTAGACCCCTGAACCTCTAAACCCTGAAACCGCCCTACACCCCTAAACCCTAAACACCCCCTCAACTTAGTTGCTGAGTTCATAAGCCCCCAAAAAAAGGTGTACACTTCCAGTTCTATCCAGGAATAGAGTACCCCAAAAAGTGTAAAGTACTCACTCAGCTACTCAGTCAACTCAAAACCTGATATAATAAGTAGACTAGGTTTTTTTTGGGGGGGGTGATTATAGTATATTCATAAAGGGACCATGAAGGAATATGATTCGCAATTATTCCGACCCCTATATGGTGACTTCTCTAAATGATGGTCGATTCTGGAGTTGCGATTGTCAAGCCCCTGTTATTTAGGGTGCCCAAGCAGGGACCGCCATTTTGACAGATGACCATATAAGCCTAAACCCTAAACCCTAAACCCTAAACCCTGAACCCTAAACCCTAAACCCTAAACCCTAAGCCCTAAACCTACACACCCCCAAAGCCCCAAAACCTGTTGAAGTCTTCAGCCCCTGGCTGCCAACGGGATCACCTTCCGTGGCTTTCGGCTTTGGGGCGTCCAGTTTGTCCAGGGGTCAGGGTTTCCAAGGGTTTTTTTTTAGGTTTCCCAGATCTTCCTAGGGGTTTTTAGGGCTTCCTAAATCTTCCTAAATCTTCCTAGGGTTTCCTAGGGTTTCCTGGGGTTTTCTTGGGTTTCCTAGGGTTTTCTTGGGGTTCCCTCGGGTTTTTTTTTAGGGTTTCCTAGGGTTTCCTAGGTTTCCTAGGGTTTCTTTGGGTTTCTTTGGGTTTCCTTAGGCTTGCAGGGCTCGACAGCTAGGCGAAACAGCAGGCTGTTCCCTTTGAAACAAGAGTGTGATCCCGGAAGGCACTGAACAGTTCATGCTACCCCCCATAGATGGAAACATGCTAAGGCTCAGCGCTCAGGGCTTCTGGTGCGTGAGGATTTGAGGTTGGGGCCAACGTCCCAGAACCAAAAACCAGACAACCCTCAACCCTGGGCCTTGAACCTCAGAAGCCATGAAACCGCAGAAAAGAACCAGAACCCTCCCCTAAACCCGAAACCCTAAACCCCAAACCCCAAACCCCAAACCCCAAACCCTAAACCCTAAACCCTAAACCCCGCCTTCCGAACTTTCCTCTTCCTGGCCATGGATCCTCTGGTGGAGGCTGGGCTGCCCTTGGTCCTGATTCTGAGGGTTGAAGGTTCAAGGGAATAGGGTTTAGGGTTTAGGGTTTAGGGTTTGGGGTTTAGGGTTTAGGGTTTAGGGTTTAGGGTTTAGGGTTTAGGGTTTAGGGTTTAGGGTTTAGGGTTTAGGGCTTAGGATTTAGGGTCGGTTTTTGGGGCTCCAAGGCTTTGCTTCGAGGGTTGAGGGGCTTCGGAGTTCTGGTCTAGAACGTGCATAGGGTTTAGGGTTTAGGGTTTAGGGTTTAGGGTTTAGGGTTTAGGGTTTAGGGTTTAGGGTTTAGGGTTTAGGGTTTAGGGTTTAGGGCTTAGGATTTAGGGTCGGTTTTTGGGGCTCCAAGGCTTTGCTTCGAGGGTTGAGGGGCTTCGGAGTTCTGGTCTAGAACGTGCATAGGGTTTAGGGTTTAGGGTTTAGGGTTTAGGGTTTAGGGTTTAGGGTTTAGGGTTTAGGGTTTAGGGTTTAGGGTTTAGGGTTTAGGGAACGTGCACAGCTCTTCTTCCGCCCCCCAAAAGCACTTTTCCCACCCCCTGGGTTTTTAGGGGTTTAGGGTTTAGGATTGAGGGGTTTAGGATTGAGGGGTTGAGGGGTTGAGGGGTTGAGGGGATTAGGGCGAATACACCCCGGACAGTTTTTCTACCACCCACCCCCCCCCCCCTCACAAGCTTCCCGGCCCCCCGTAAGGCTTGATTTCGCCCCTGGACAGCTATTCAAGGCCTTTGGGGGTTTAGGGGTTTGGGGGCTTAGGAGTTCAGTGTTTAGGGTTTGGGTTTAGGGATTAGGGGTTTGGGCTGTAGGGTTTAAGGGTTGAGGGGTCTTGGGGTTTAGGGGGTTGAGCTTAGGAACTTAAGATCTCAGGGTCTTAGCCTTTAGGAACTTCGGGGTTTAGGAAGTCGATGTCGCTGAGACCCTCACTCCCTAACTCGAAGGCAAGGAAGAAGCCTTAAACCCTAAACCCTAAACCCTAAACGTGGCTGCGCTCCGAGCTGCGGGGACACGCTGCCGCGGGAGGGAGACGCGGGAGACTTTGGTGACTTTGGTGACCTGAGCAGAGCATCTCTCACACGCTTTAGGAGCGACCGTAGGACTTGGGGGTGGTTTAGGGCTTCGGGTCTAGGGTCTAGGGGTTAGGGTGTAGGGTTTAGGGTTTAGGGTTCAGGGTTCAGGGTTCAGGGTTTAGGGTTTAGGGATTAGGGCTTAGGGTTTAGGGTTTAGGGTTTAGGGTTTAGGGTTTAGGGTTTAGGGCTTAGGGTTTAGGGCTTAGGGTTTAGGGATTAGGGTTTAGGGATTAGGGTTTAGGGTTTGATGGGTGTACACTCCACATCGTTTTGGCTGCCAAAAAAAGAGTTTGTGACGTGTAGGGATAAGGCTTTAGGCTTAGTAGCCCAGTAACCATATTCTAATAAGGGCACCCTTTTTGGGTTGGCTACTCTATAAGGGAACCCTGAACCAAAAAAAAGGGTAAAGGGTACCACTGGGCTACCAAGTAGGGCCCTAAGCCCTAAGCCCTAAGCCCTAAGCCCTAAACCCTAAACCCTAAACCCTAAATAGGCATCCGAAATTCTGCCGCGGGGCTGGCCGGCACGACCTGCACAGGGTCGCTTCGAGAGGTGTTAGGATATCGGGCGATTCAAGGTCTCGGGTTCTCGGGTCTACCGTGTTCGGGTTTAGGGTTCAGGGGTTTAGGGTTTCGGGTCTAGGGTTTGGGGTTTAGGGTTTAGGGTTTAGGGTTTAGGGTTTCGGGTTTAGGGTTTAGGGTGTAGGGTTTAAGGTTAAGGGTTCAGGGTTTAGGGTTTAGGGTTGTAGGGTAAGAATGATGCATTCCCCTTGGATTGCGATATTCGGGATGGGATTGGAGAGCTGCCCCAAGAGCCAACCCCTGAAACCTACATGGGGGCTTACGAGAATAAGGGAGCCCTCAAATAGACCCCCAAATAGTAGGATCCCCTTGTAGTAAGGACCCCAATAAAGTACCCCAGTATCCGAAACCTCCACATCAGTGGTTTGCAATCAACAATCAACTTAGCATGGCACTGAATATTGTTACTTGAGTCATCAGTATCAGCGGCTGAAATCAGCAACCTAGCTTGATACAACTTCAACTTTTCCAGTCAGACTGCGGCGCAGTCAAGAATGAACTAGATACCTAGGATGAACCCTTATTCCAAAAAGAACTGCCACGCGGGGTGCAGCGTGAGGTTGCCAGGCATGCAGCGCAGCTGAAGCTCATTCAACTGAAGAGAACCCTAAACCCTAAACCCTAAACCCTAAACCCTAAACCCTAAACCCTAAACCCTAAACCCTAAACCTCGCAGGACCTGCGAATCCCTCACCTCGCAAGTCTGGAAACCCCAACCCTCCGGCAGACCCTCAAAGAACCCCAAACCCTTAACCCCCCAAACCCTAAACCCAAACCCTTAAGCATCCTTAAACCCTAAATA